CTTTGGAGCCTGGTAGCCACAAATGGGCAGAGACCTCTAACTCAGATGAGAAGCCTGTGTCTGCAAAGAACGGGCATTCTGGGACTGAGTACCCACTGCTGTGTGGCCTTGGGCAAGTTTCTTAACCTCGCTGGGCCTCACATTTCTCATGTGTAAAAGCAGGATAACAGTAGTTATTTAGGATTAAATAAGATCATGGAAAATGCCCCATTGGACACATAACTAGGAGCTAATTAATAAGTGAGCAAAATCAAATATTGTCTCTGTTTCAATGCTGAGCTATTGTAGAGTGGCCCAAGAATCCTCTACAGACTCCCAGGGTGCCCGTACTCCAAAGAGCACCTCCTCTTCCCCTGCCTTCTGTTGAGCACAGCCACTCCCAGGCGGCTGTGACACCTTTCTGGAAGCAGCCATCTTGCGGACAGATCATCCCTTTGAATCTCCCCAGCAGCCTGAACTTTGTCCTTGAGGGGAGATTTGATTTGGGGAAATCATCAGACATCCTTTAAGACAAGTCTGCTGAATGGACGCTCAGAAGCCAAGCCAGGGCCTCCTGTCCGGGTCAGTCCGGCCTCATGTGCTGAAGGCAGTATAGAAAGGATCTGGACTGGATCATCGCCACTGCTTTTGGTGGGTGTGAGCAACGTGTCCGTGTGTGTGTGTGCGTGTGTGTGTGTATGAAAACAGAGATATTCACACACACTCCTGAGCTCAGTGGACGAACCAAACCAAAGCCTGCCTAATGAACATGAGGCTGCCTTTCATCTCTCAGCCCACAACTTGATTTTCATGGAAATGTCTCTGTGTGGGAAAATTACAAGCATTTCTGAATACAGGCAAGTGTATGAGAGTGCGGCAGCATGTTGTCCTGGAATACTGGGATTTAGAGGTTGGGTTCCCCCAGTCTGTTCCTAACCAGCTGTGTGGCCTCTGGCTCCTTTCTTCACCCCCTAGCCCTTGGTTTCCGCATCTTAAGTGCTCCAGGAGGGAAACACACAGGCTGTGCCCACATGCGTGGGCATTCACAGCACGTGCTGGTGACATTGCTTATTAAAACACTGTAAACATTAATTGGCAGTCACAAAGTTCTAGTCACAATAGCAGACATTTTTGAAAATCAGAAACAGGCCAGGCACAGTGGCTCACGCCTGTAATCTCAGCACTTTGGGAGGCCGAGGTGGATCACTTGAGCCTGGGAGGCGGAGGTTGCAGTGAGCCAACCTTGCACCACTGCACTCCAGCCTGGGTGACAGTGAGACCCTGTCTGAAAAAACAAACAAAGAAACAACAGAAACAATTCAATTGTCCATCGGTAGATGAGTGGGTAAACAAATATCAATAGGCGTATGATAAAATATCACAAAGCAGTAAAAAGGAATGAGCCATTGATAGACGCAACAACATAGATATCAGGATCCCGAGCAAGAGTTCATACACCATGAGTTTTAAATTTTTTTAAAAAGTAAATTAAAACTGATCTACAGTGGTTGGATTCAGATTGCTGGCTGCCAGGGAGTCAGAGACTGCCTGCAAGGGGCTCTAGGGAACGTTTTGTGGTGATAGATATTTCTTTCTTGATCTTGGATATGTAACACGGTTGCATACATTTGTCAAAACTCATCAAACAGTAGAGGTGAAAGGGATTTTGCTGCATGGAACTTAGACTTCAATAAGGTGGATTTCAAAAATTAACTGGTATTTATATTTTATTTTTCAAATCTTGTAGAAAATAATAGACATAAAATGCTCACAACATATTCAACAAAGACTGTAAAATAACCTATAGTATGATCTAATGATTATATATACATGAATATTTGTATTTATAACTTACGGTCCATTCATATAGATTGTACACACACACACACATATGTATGCATGCGCACATATGCACACATACAGTTTGGAAAATATAGCAGAAGGACTTTCAAACAAATGCACTCAGTAATTACCTCATGGGTAATTGTTTTCTTTTTAGTTTTCAATTCTAAATATTCTCTTAGTTTTTTCTTAATTCTAAATATCCTTTTAGGGTTTTTTTTTTTTTTTTTACTTTTTCTGTAATGAACACTTTTTTGTGGAAGAGGAAGTCCTTTTTGCTTGCTATATTTTTCTTCTTTGTTAATTGACAAATAATGTATATATTCAGGGTATAATATGTTATGTATATGATAACACTTTTTCTTTTTATTTAAACATAGAAGAAACACACGTATCTCTCTTTTTTTTTTTTTTTTCCAAGCTGCAGCAGGCCAGAGACATAAGACATGGGGGCTGGGCCCCAGGACAGGGGTGGTGAGGACATCCCGGTTCCCACGAAAAGCAACCGCCTGGCCAAGGCTGGAGCAGACAAAAGAGGA